TGAGCATTCGGCCAGGAAATCCGCTAGAGCTTGAGCCTTAATGGCAGCCCTCGGACGGTAGCTGATGCTGAATTCGGTGAGCTCAAAAGCCCACTTGGCTAGCCTACCAGATTTTTTCAACCTTGCCGAGAACTTTTTCCAACGGCTGATCAGTTAAGACCACTATCTGATGGCAATCAAAATAGGGCCTCAGCTTCCGAGCAGCTACTACTACTGCGAAAGCAACTTTCTCGAGTAGTGGATAGCGAGTCTCAACATCCGTCAGTGTATGACTGACGAAGTAGATCGGTTGCTGACTTTTAATCTCTTCCTTCAGCAATACTGCGCTGATAGTGGCAGGGCTAACGGCCACATATAGGTATAAAGTTTCTCCTTCAGCTGGGCTAGCCAGCGTTGGGAGTTCAACCAGATGCTCCCGAAGCTGTTTAAAGGCGTCTTTTTGCTCTTCCTCCCAAACGAGCTCTTTTGTTTTCGGGAGTTTCAAGGCTTTGAAGAAAGATAACCCCTTATCCGAAGCTCTGGAAATGAACCTCGAGAGGGCTGTCATTCTTCCGGTGAGCCGCTGAACATCCCGCTTCGTTTTCGGCTCAGGAAGGTCGAGTGCCGCTTTGACTTTAGAGGGATTGGCATCAATCCCCCTTTTGCTGACCATGAACCCAAGGAATTTCCCTGACTTCACGCCGAAGACACACTTCTTCGGATTCAGCTTCATTTGATGCTTTCTCAAGGTGGCGAAAGTTTCAGCCAGGTCCTTTACATGGTCTTCTAGTTTTTTGCTTTTGACGATCGAATCGTCAACATAGACTTCCATGTTTCGGCCCTTTTGATCGGCGAAAACTTGATCCACCAGCCTTTGATAGGTTGCCCCCGCATTTTTCAATCCGAAGGGCATCATTTTGTAATTGTACACCCCAGCGTTCGTGACGAATGCTGTCTTTGCTCGGTCGTCGGGGTGCATAAAGATCTGATGATACCCCGAGAATGCGTCCATGAAACTAAGCAAGGCATGGCCACTTGTCGAATCGACTAGCTGATCGATCCTCGGCAAGGGATAGAAATCCTTTGGACAAGCCTTATTTAGGTCCGTGAAGTCAACGCACATCCTCCAGGTACCATTGGGCTTCTGAACCATCACCACATTTGCCAGCCATTCTGGATATTGGCAAGGTTCGATGAATCCTGCCTCCAATAATTTTTTGACCTCGGCTGCGATGTCTCGGTTCTTATTGGCGGAGTAATTCCGCTTCTTTTGCTTAACTGGTCGACACGTCGGGTCAACATTAAGCTTATGGGAGATGAGGTCTGAACTTATCCCGGGCATATCAGCTGCCGAGAAAGCAAACACATCTCTGTTGTCCCGAAGGAGCTGAATAAGTTCACAACGGGTGTTCGGATCAAGGTCCATCCCGATTGTTACACATTTCTCACCGTCTCCTTCGGCCAACTCAACTGTTTCAGTCTGTTGGTCCATGTCCATTGCCGATGGACTGGACTCTTCAGAATCTGGCCTGCTGCCAATGTCAGCAGGTGTCCCAGTCTTTTTGTTCTTCGGCTGGCTCTCTGAGTCTTGCGGCTCAGCTGAAGAGCTAGCCTTTTCCCTTTCGGGCCCTTTTTCTCTGGGCACAGATCCTTGGGCCGAAGCACTTAGGCCTTTTGGCTTTTTTGTGCTTGGCTCTCTTTCTTTTTCTTTCTCCTCCTCATCCTTGTCGTCATCTGGGCGACTACTGGATGGCTTGAGGTAGTTGCACCTTCGGGCATCCTTTTGGTTGCCCTGTATCCTTTCGGGGAAGCCGGCGTCTGAGACGTAAATCATCAGCTGATGATAAGTTGAGACGACCCCTTGGATCTCGTGAATTATGGGTCTCCCCAAAATCACGTTGTACACTGAAGGAGCGTCGATGACCAAAAATTCAATCATGACGTTCCGGGCTGCCTCATCGCAACCGATGGTGACAGGAAGTGTCACCTTCCCATCTGGATAAGTTGAAGCCCCATTGAACCCGGATACCGGGTAGGGTACCGGCGTAAGGTGCTTGGGCTTCAGCTTAATTTGATTGTAGGCCTTTCGGAACAGAATGTTTGCTCCACTGCCACCGTCAACAAGGACCTTACTGACGTCGTGGTTGGCCACCGTGGCGATGATCACCAACGGATCCTCGTGAGGGAACGTAATCCCCCGGCAGTCGGCGGCTGTGAACGTCATGTTCGGCACCGGCGACTGGGGAGATTGAATGTCAGCGTTGTTCACCTGGTGAGTCAAAGCTCTAAGGTGGCGCTTGTGCTCCCTCCGAGAGTATATTCCTCCCGAGATAACATTGATCGGAGGGAATTTCCCCTCCGGCTTTTTACTGTTTTTCCGGGGGAAGTCGAGGTCCTGCCGAGGGTCCTTTGCTGACCTCTCGGATTCTTTTTTCTCGCGGTGATCCGCGATGTATTTTTTCAAGTATCCCTTCCGGACCATGTCCTCTATCTGGTCCTTCAGTTGGATACACTCCTCAGTGTTGTGTCCCGAAGACTCGTGGAACTCGCACCACTGATTTTTATTTTTTCGCTGATACCACTCTGGGAGTGGTCTCGGCTTTCGGTAACTCTGCTCCTCCTTCGTCACGCTGTAAATTTTGGCGCGTGGAAGAGAGAGCGGAGTGTAGGACTCGTATCTGCCTGTGTATAAGGCAGATCTTTCCTTCTTTGGGTCGATGGCCAAAGATTGCTCCGGGGCCTTTGACTTTCCCTTTGCCTTATGGCCTTGGCCTTCAGACAAGGGTATTTGTCTCTGTTTCCCTCCCCCGAATTGAGGTTGGGTTTTCGCTTTGTTCCATTCTTCGGCTCGGATGAACTTATCCGAAGCATTAAGAGCTTCCTCCAAGGTCTGCGGGGTATGCATGACCATGAAGTCTAGGAACTTTCCGGGCTGAAGGCCATTCTGCATTGCGAAAACGGCTAGCCCCTGGTCCAGCTGGGAGACGCTTGATGACTCGTTACTGAAACGGGTCAGGTAGTCTCGGAGGCTTTCGGTTTCCCCCTGTTGCAGACTCATGAGCTCTGCGGTAGTCTTCTCTCGGCGGTTTGCCGTGGAAAACTTGCTCCTGAACTTGGAGGACAGATCATCCCACCCTGTTATGGAGCCTTGCCTTACTCCCTTGGAGATCCACGCTTGCGCGACCCCCTTGAGAGTGGTTGGGAAATATTTGCACCAAGTCGCCTCGGATCTGGGGCAAAGATGCATATGAGTCTCATACGAGGCCACGTGATCCTTCGGATCTGTGGTCCCGTCATATGTGATGTGCGACGGTATTTTAACCGTGGGTACGCGCTCTTCCAGTATCCATTGCTCGAATGGTGAACTGGCGGGTAGCATAACGGCCTTGCCCTTGTTCCTGGCCGAAGGGACCGCGCTCCGCCCTCTTAGAGAGGTAGGAGTGGTTTTCGTCCCTGGCTGGGAAGTCTGGGCCTTGGCTGCAGGGAACGAGAGGCGACTGTGCACGCTCGGTTCCTTGCCGCCGAGTCGGTCAAGGACACTTCTGCGAACAGTCTCAGGTTCTCGGTGAGTAGATTCTGGCTGAGAAGCTGAGCTGCTGCTCTTATGCGCTTCTGGTCTTGAGGATGAGGATCCTTTTAAAAATTGAGGGTTCTTTTTCCTCTGTTTTTCATTTTTCCAGGAATCCTCCTCCCACTCTTCCAGTTCCCGGAAGGAAGGAAGCTTCCCACCATCATGGTCTAACTTCCTCCGCTGATGCCGGGTATGCGGAGGAGTTCGATCACGAGGTGGTGGCATATTTTGTGTCCTCATCGCCTCCATGAGTACTGCCAGCGCTCTTGCCACCTCTTCCGAGCTGGGCCCCGTCAAAGGGGTCCTCGGCCGAGTGTGGGAATGAGGGCGCGCAGCCGATGGTTGGCTTTGGGACACTGAATGTGTCCTATGATCGGACTCACCCCTGCTAGACCGAGAGTCACCCGGCCTATAATGAGAGTCATGAATTACGGGAGATAGGGAATCCTCCTTGTATGATCCTCCCCCCGAGCCGGCACCCTTGGGAGAGTTCCGATCCGGCGAGGGTGATGGTGTAGGGGTTTTAGGCTTTTCGCCCGCTCCTTGACGGAGGCTTTTGCTCTTGCGGTTCTTAGCCATTGCTGCTAAGATAATTGCAAGATGATCTTGGTTAGGAATTTGGCTTAAAGATTTTTGAAAGTCTTCCCCACAGACGGCGCCAAATTGTTTCGGGTGAAAACAATGGGACCTTGCCGAAGGTCCGCTGAAACGGAGAAGGCTGGATTCCGTCCAAGTTATGTTGGGCCGAAGGTTTCCTGCACAGTAAACACACGTAAACTAGCCTCGGGGGTGTTGCCGAGGAAGGCCCCTCCGATGCTAAAGTCAGTACAATGTGTAAGAAGAGGACACTATGCAAGAGAGTTTGTTGCTTGAGGCTTTAATGGAATATATCAGAATATATGAATGAACATATGAATGAACATATGAATGAACCTCTGAATGAATCAATATTGATGGCTTTTATACCTCATCATACATGGAGAGGTTGGGCCTTAGCCCAATTGGCTTGCTTTGTGGGCTGACCTTTGACTTTAGCACAATTGAAGAGTTGAACCTTGACCTTGGGCTTTTAATTGGATCATTTAATATCTAGGCCCAATTGGACTAAATTGGACCTAAACAAGTGTTAAATGACTATTCATTAATGATACTTCCTCCATTCTATTAATATTGCAACAAGAAGGAAATTACGCATCCCAAAGCACATTTCATATGCTAAATATCTATAATTGTATAAAAGTAAAAATTATAAAAAGTTGATATTGTGAAAGTATTTTATGTGACGAATCCAATAAGATCCCACATGACTATATTTACTTAACGTATGAATCTATATTATAAGGTCAAACAAGAGTGATGAATAGTGCAAAAAGTCCATTGTTGCAATATTAATAGAACGGAAGAAGTATTATTCTTCTTGTAAAAATAAAAATAAAAATTAGTCCACTCCTGTTAAAACGAGTTTATGTCTAGGTGAATCTTTTGTATCTGGTGTAAATGAATTTTAGGACATCCAATTGATAGATAGGTTGACATGTTGTGGATATGACAGGGCATCATAATGTACATCTTGTAAATAAATGGAACCTCAATACAAACCGACCAGGCTACCAAGCAAAAAATGTTCTTAGAAGAAATATACTACTCATAATGATACCCAATAGCAAAAAGATATTGAAGTAATTCACATAAGTTCTCATTCGTGCAGCTGCAGTGGAAAGTATTTCCATTTTTCTTTTGATCACAAATATTCGATCAAAAAAACTGGCAAATCATTTGGATGGGAACAACCTAGCCTTCGAAGTTCAGATTCACAAATGAAGTTTTGTCCAATCCAAAATCTGCCATGATACTTCTCCAGAATCAGTCTCATTTGAACCAACATATGTGTCGATTGTGCTGCTTCGAGAATTTGCCAGGCTGAGCTTTAGCCTCTGAGCTTCTTTGCTCAGGGTCTGATATTCTCCTGTCAAATGGAATTAAAGTAACGAACTTGGACAATTTTTAGTAAAGAAGGAATGTTATTGTCAATAATATGTACTCCCTCCGTTACATATTACTCGCAACAAAGGAATATTTTATGTCTCACAAATAATACCCTTTGTTGCGAGTAATTCGTAGCGGAGGTAGTATTATGCAGCCCTTTGCCTTTAATGATTGCTGCTAAACATGAAAGGCAAAGTCTGGTAGGTAACAGTGTCGCAAAAATCTATTGGGAGACTAGAGTGCTATCCTACGGCCAGGGTAACAACATACTCAGTTTCAAATTAGTTGACATATTTTTACATTAGATACCATTCACAAACTCTAATTTCTCTCATCAGATATCTAACTTTACTTATTCTACTTATTTATATGATAAAAATATTTACAATTGAATTTATGCATTTACAAACGTGATAAAAGAAACATGTTAACCAATTAGGAAGAAAGCACTTACAGAGGGCAATCTCATACTTTTTAGCGTAATAGTGTCACACTCACAAATCATGATGAATCTTAATGAGACGGTCTTACCCAAGAATTAATTGACATAAAAGAGCGTATCCAAACTAGCACTAAAACATCAAACTATTCAGTTGGCTCCAACCTTATCAGCAAAAGATGACTATAGTACATAGTTGCCAACTTGACTTTATAAGAAATATTTTATGTTGAGTGGTTGCAAACCAACCAAACTTTGTGGGTATACAGCAAGTTGTTGAGTGGGAGTCAGCCAGAAAAGGTCCAATGATTTGGAACCTTTAGGTTCTTGAGTTTATTATATTTGGCCTGAGAAAAAAAAAAAAAAAACTAGAATAATGGTGTCACATTAAGCAAGACTTTAACATAAAAGATGTAATCTGTTACTCTGTATTTAGCAAGGAATCCTCTAAATCTTCCCAATTATGATCACTGTGCACTAGTGACTCTGTTTTTGCATTCTGGATGACTCAAGTTTCATATAAGGTTATTAACGACAAGTACTCAGAGAAGCTAACAGAGTTGAAGTTTTACAATATCAGAAAATTGGGCTATTACATCTGAAGAGCACAAAATATAATGTGAAGCAGCTGTTGAAAACAGGATGTGTTGTCACTTGCATTCAACGTAAAAGATAAGCACATGAAGACATTAAATAGTAACATAGAGATTCAGGCTTAAAAAAAAATACACTGATTGTTACAAAAAAAATTAAAATGAGGAAGTATAGGCTTACCATCCATCGACAGCTTTTGTTGCTGTAGCTTTGCCACCTGCTGCTTTAACTTGTTATTCTCCAGAGACAAACCAACTTTTTGCTGAAGCAAGGTAGAAACCCTTATTGATAGCTCTGATTGCAACGTCTGCAACACAGAACAACTATTCAGAACAGCTGACCGGAAAGGGGGTGGGGGGGGGGGGGGTGAGTATGAAACAAGAAAATCCCCAGACAAGTACTACTAAATTGTTCATTGTGATGATTTCACAAAAAAATAAAATAAAATAAAATAAAAAATTGTTCGTTGTGAACCTCTAGAACAAAAGACCAAAATATCACTAGATAGATTTTAGTGAGAGTCAAGTTTCAAATAACTAAGTTTTGCACAAAGTAGTATGGTTCTTAAAAATTTGCCTGCCTCATTGTTTATTCATATTCCAAAAAAAATGGTGCTTAGAGGTGTCTAGAAAATATAAATGTCCTCTAGATGACTTCAATCTTTGTATATGATAAGCAAGCATTAACATAACCAGTTAAAAGTACCAATAGTCATTCTAGATCCTGAGAGACGGGGCCGGGGGGGAGGGGCAAGCAAAACATCTTGGAAGGCGATATGGCACTTTAGAGGGTATGAATTCTGCATGCAACTGAATAATACAAAACACATTTTGGTGGGATTGAGGACTATTCTTTTGGTAAAATACAATAGAGTGCATTCATTAAGAGTCTGGAAGACAATTTTGAATAACCTACTACTCTACTAGAGAGATACGCAATCATTCTACTTATTACATAATTTTTATAATATTTGGTGAACCCAAAATTGACATGAAACCAAGCATGAACACGGCAATTAAATTGCTTTGTCAACTCTAGACATTCATATAAAGCACTGACAATGAATATCACCAACCAATGTTGCAAGTTGGCAACTATATAGTTTACAATGGATTCACAGAAGGAATAAGGAGCTTTATGCAACAACTAGCAATAAATAAGGGCTTTCATTGTTAATGCTTCTAGTCGGTTCTCATTCATTGGTAATGGCTACCAAGGGTAATTTAAAACACCTTATGCACTAAGCTATAAAAATTCTATTGGCCATTTGTTTGTTTTTAAATGATAGTTGGCTACTATTTGTAATAGATAGGTTGCCTATTGTCCATAAAGTTCCTTAAATCATGACTTTAATCAAAGAAGCTGTAACAAGGAGTTGAAGTTTCTGATAAAAATAAATAATATTTTTTATTTTTACTTTTTCTAAGCCTCCACATGGAAATCTAATGGATACATGAATTTACATACAAAATCTGTTCTAAACTCATAAGCTTTAACTTGGCTTCCACTTATCTGACAAAATCCCATAAGCACAAACACTTATACCATGACTGAATCTATTATGAGTTTATGACCAAGTCAGACATGAGAATATTAAATTTAGGGTAATGTTACATGTAGCCCTAAGGGCTATACATAAACATTAAATATACTCTTGGAAATTGTATAAAATTAGGAATTCATGACAAAAATACACGTAAATCAGTGTTATTACACTTATTAGTGTTTATATTTTGATGATTTCTTAACTTTTTACGATTTTCAAGTGTAAATTTAAAGCTTATATGTAGCCCTAAGGGCTATGTATAACATTTTCCTTAAATTTATCCAACCAACAAAAAAAAGGGGAAAAAAAAAATAACACTATTTAACCAACTGTTACTATATTTTGAGAATACAGTGATAACTTCTCCTATCCTCTTAATCTTTCTTAGAATATACTTTTGTAATCACATAGGTTGCTTTGCCTCTCTCTACTTTTACCTAAAATAATGTGTCATATGTAAGTGTTGTAATTTTAGTGAAACGATTATTTACAAATCATCAAATGTAGTCAAAGTATAATGTGTAAACACTATAAAGTAAACAGAGGAAGTATAAAATATGTGTCCTAACCAGAAATGAATTGCTTGAATTTCAATCATCGAGGGAAAACAAAAAGTTAGGCAAACAACTTAAAAATATGAAGATACATGTCACAGGTTAGTTCACGTATGATCTTGACATAATGGCTAGAGAGATAAATAAGATTCACTGCAGAAGATAAGAGTTGTTACATGAAAAAGATAATTGATAATTTGTGCAGGGAAGAGCATAATAAGAGGAAACATCTGCAAACAGAGATCTAGTTTATTATGTGTCCTTTCATTAGTAGTGCAACAAGAGTACCAGCACATTGTAAGACATAACATTATATCTCACAGCAGAAAACAGTATAATAAATTGTAATTACATATTATACCTGGAACACATTCACAGTTCTTTCTAGTTCAGCAATGTACTGAAGCTTGCGAGTTCTAGAGCGCTGTCCAGGATGCCTGTAAGTGATGAATCACCACAATATTTAGACACGTGTCAATCATATGCATTTTCAAATTCAAATGAAAACAAGGAAGATAGACATGTATAGCTTAATCAAACAGTTAACAACATATATATGACTAGGTAAAGAGGAGGCAGTGATTTACATATTATAACTCACCCAAAGATAAATAATTTACCTCTTTTCAGTTTTTGCATCAATATTGTAGTAACTGGGTGCATCACAAAATTCATTCTTTAAGTCCAAATGAGTCCCATAAATCTGAGGATTCTCTTTGACAAATTGCATTGAACTTTGATCAACGTAATCAGACATTGCCAAAAGCACTGTGTTATCCAAAAACTCTACAGTGGATCTTCGACGAGGAGAATTAGGGCCATATATACAACCAGATCCCAATATGTTACCATCCTCTACTTGTTCTTCTTCATGACTTGCAGACAGAAGTAAGTTTGGGACAATACCATCCAAAACAGCAAACGAATCACTAGCTGACCTACAGTGGCGAATCCCTTTAGGAACTGAGTCCGAATTTAACAAGTCATCTAGCCACGCTGGTTGATCCTCCAACACCGAACTTTGAGATAGTGATCTATGATGTCTAGCACTGGACTTATCAACTCCTTGAGAATAAATCAAGCTAGGGTCGTGGGTTTGGCATGCAACAGCTTTCTTTTGCAATGGGCACCGAGGTGGAAGTTGGGACGGTCGTGACATCTTGAAACTAAATTGTTCAACTAATTACCCATGGTTTAGTCACACAAGGATTATCTGTACACTAATACAACAAAATTAGTCAATTATATCACAAGAATACTCACCACAAAAATAACATTGCCAAATAACCAGACTATACTGCACCTACTTTTGGTTTTAATTCAATACTCCAACTATTTATCTACAAAAAATATGCCCAACTTCGTAAATAAGCACATTAATCAGGAAATAACAAAGATTTGTAGATTGAGTAAATACAGGAAAACCCAAAACAGGAAAAAAAAAAAAAAAAAAAAAAAAAAAAGAGAGAGAGACAAAATCCCAGAAATATCGGATAGAATATATATAGAATTTTCAAATTCAAAAGAATAATTTAACCCATTCAAAGGATTCCCCAAAACTACAGCCATTTTATCAACAACCACAATCACCAAAGCAGGTAAAAGATACATTTATCAAAGATCAAACAATAGAATAGTAAACCTAAACCCAGAAAAGGTATACATGTATAGTATATATAATCTAATCTTTAAACTTACAAATTCAATTTCAGAAAAAAAAAGGAAAAATTATATATAAAAATCCTAAACCCAGTTCAGGAATGAAAAATAAAAATAAAATAAAATTTAAAAAAAAAAACAAATTATTCAAATATTCGAAATCACACTTTTAACAACTTATTACAGTTAAAAAATATAATCAAGTACCATTGAAATATTGTGCAAGCAGAATTTAGAAAAACAAAATGACAACAAAACAAAGTATTTAAAAAAGATGCAGATAACAGAGAATTATCAAAGTAAGAAGGAATTTCAAGTGAATATCTTATATATTAATATATACAGTACTACATAATATTAGACAAATTCTGACCTTTAAATGTTCTGCTCCCAAAATTATCAGTAATCATAATATTTACATAGCATAATATGTATGGCAACTTGGCAAGGTAGCAAGAAAGAGAGAAAAATTAGGATGAAGGTGTTAGCAGTGGAAGATGGGAAGAAGAGAGCTGCAATTAGCTCGCTTTTGTTATGAGGAAGCCGAAAGGCCAACTCTGGTTTATGGGCTGTGTCCTCTTTTCGCCCCATCATTGGTTCATGTTGAGGTCCAAGAGACTCCACGTGTTACGACAAATGGGTTTCCAAGGGGTTCTCGGTAAGAGTGTTCAAAAATATCGGACCCGACCACCCTTTGACCCGATAATTTTAAACGGGTATTTTTTTTTTTTTTTTTCCAAAATTGAGCCGGCCTTTTCGTTAGGCAGGAATCTGCTGACCCCATAGCTGGTTTTTTTGTACAAAAAAAATTAATTAAATATATTTATACTTCTTATATGTTTAATTTCTTGATAGAGGTGTCAATACAGATTATTGGATCATGGTTGGTTAGGTTGGGTCATATTAGGTCATGGTCATTTCAAATTTGAAGCATAAGTACTAGATTATTGTATATGTACAAATTAAAATATGAATTTGGGTTTTTTTTTTTCGGATTGAGTTGATCGAAATAGCTTTTAATACCTCTATTCTTGAGGGTTCAACTTTGGGAATAACTATCATTAACATCGAGTTATTTTTTACCGTTTAGAATAAAGTAGTATTTTTTTAGAAGGCTAAGAGAAAAGAGAGGTTGCAAGATAGTTAAGGGATGACTAATAAAATTAAAATAGAGTGCCTTTGCACTTGTGAAGGCGCTGCTTGGTGCACCTACACGGCTACGCTTTACAAAGAGGAGGATCAATTTCAAGGTTTAGTGTGCCTACACAAATGACAGACACACACTTATTATGTGCCCAATGTCAACAATTTTTTTTTTTTGAATGGGAAGTAATAATAACACCATTAAATAATAGCCATACGGCATTTACAATAATAAAGATCTGTAAACCACAGATTTAGAGAAAATATCATAACTTTTATAATCAAAATCATAACTAATTTGCATATTTGGCATAGTTCATACTCCACCGCTTCAAGCTTGACGCGAGCAATAATTTTCGATGTCTTTGCATCTTTCCAAGTTGAGACCTCCGCAATCCGCGTTGATGTATTGATCGACCAGTTGATGACAAATCCCCTATCCATAGGAATCCAAATCACCTTCCTAATTATTATAAGAACCCAAAATAAAATTCTCATCCATAGATGAGAATCAAAATCCCAGAAAATTGGGAAAAGCTCAGAAATTTGGGACAGACTCTCATAGATGGAGAGAACAAAACAAAACAAAACGTAAATCAAAACAAAAAACTAGATTGAATTAAAGAAAAAGGAAAAAGGGGCACAACGTAAATCAAAACAAAAAATTAGATTGAATTAAACGGCCAAGAAAACTAAAACCCTAGAAGAGAGAGGAGAGAGAAGAGAGAAAAAGAAAAAAGGGGCACAACTTTCAGTGACGCCCAATGTCAAAAGTTACAAATATTCAATTAAATTTATTAGATTAATCGCAAAAATTTAATTCGTCTCATGATTATTAATATTTGCAATTATATATTTCTTTCGTTCCCCAATATTGCAACATAGGTGGGGGACATGATAATTAAGAAGAGAAGAAAGATAGAGATGAATAAATATATGGATCAAAAAGTTAATTTTGATAAGACAACCGTTTCATTTAGCAAGGGGGTGTCGCAAGAGAGGCGGGTGGATTTGGCGGGTAATCTTTGGGTCAAGCTTGTGGATATTCATGATCGGTACTTGGGTCTTCCAACTGTGGTTGGTAGGTCAAAGAAAGTGATTACTAAAGGGGTAAAGGAGAAGCCATGGAAGAAGTTGCAGGGTTGGAAGGTGTAGGCGTCGCTCGAAGTGCGCCTACGTAAAAGCATGTGTGAATATGCTTGGCACCCATAGGAAGTGGGAATTGACATAATACGATTAGGGACAAGGAAAGTAGGGAGCCGCCAACAAGTTTTTAAGGAACTTGTAAACCGTTCACGGATCATAAAAGGCAACCACGATAAAGAGACAACGAAGGCAACAACGATTGACCCGTGAAGGTCACACCCCATTCATAATCCATGAGATTACTAACTCCATATGGTTCGGAACCACAAAAGGAGGATCGGGGATGATGGTACGAAGTGAGTCATGGAGTCACATTCGCCCGTATTGGCCTCTACTCGATTCTTATAATGAAAAATGATTCCTGCGATCTCAAAGGCATACAAACAAAGATTCAATTTGCTTCAAACTATTATTATGCTAAATTGGTTTAATATTAATGCAACATATAATTCTAAAATATTGTGATCACTTGATTTAATAACAAGATTAAAAGGGAACCTAAACCGGTTGTCCAAATTATCTTATTAGGCGTGATTTTCAATTACATATTCCCTTTAAACATGCAATATGGTGATCAATAAAAATAATAAAATAAAAATTAATTTTGGAAGCAATTCAACAATAATAACGTTAGTCAAATCAAATACTTCCTCCGTTCTTTTATTATTGCACCACTTGCCATTTTAGGAAGTTTCACAAATATTGCACCATTTCCTCTTTGGGAAAAAAATTATTTGTGTTCACACTACAAATACCCAACATACTCTTGCTTTTTCACACTTACTTTTTAGTTTATCAATATGCCACACGGGCAATTTTGTATTTTTACCTTTCTCTCTCTTATTTTTTCCACTACCAAAATATTTGTACCCAACCCCTATGATGCAATAATAAAAAAACGGAGGAAGTAATAATAATAACCTAATCATGATGCTAGAAATATTAAAATAAGAGTAATTAAATTATTTAATTACTCACATTATATTCCGCGCGTTCCTTTAAATTGCTACATCATGAATAAATTGTTAGTAATTTCAACAAAAATATAAATCAAATTGAAAATTAAATTAAATTAAAAGTGGAGTTGATTTGTTCCAAACCCTTATTTAATTCTACCTATCACGCCTTGGTTAAAGTATAGAACTTCAGGTATTGTATGGACTCCTTGGAGTGCTTAAAGGAAGAAATAGTGAAAGAATGGGGAGGCTAGTGTTTAGGCTAAAGAGGGAGAAGAGAATTATTTTGTGATCAAGCTTGTTGATGATTGAAAAAGGCGAGATATGACCTCTATTTATAATGAAAAAAGAGGGGTCGAATCAAGAAAAGATAAGAATTCGAATCAGATAAAATCCTTGCGATAGACAACAGTTTTTGCGGTTTTTGTTTTTATCATATCTTTTGATCCAAAAATTGGAATAAGATAAATAAGATATCATTGGAAATCTCTTGAAGTCTACTTTCTACCCCAATTAGAATCAGATTAAAATATTTTGTATAACAAAAGTTATAGCCAAAATAGTAAGACGGTGTCAGTTTTGGATAGAGTTTGACATTTTATTCATATCTTTTCCGTTATAGCTCAGAATTGATATTATAATATATCATTGGAAAGATAATTTTAAGAGATATCCAACCATATAAAATTTGGATAAAAACTATGAGTCAAAAAAAGAGAAAAATAAGTTAGGGTTTGGGGAAATGGGCTAGGAATTGGGTTGGTTTATGAAATGGAAATATGGATTTAAGTACTCCAAGATTAAATACTCAACCCGACCAATGATGGCGGTGAAAGGTTTTTCATCATCGAGTTTGGTTTTGAGGAGACATTTTTAGGTGTCTCCAGAAGCCCCCACTTTGACTGAGTTTGTAGAAACGTCAGTTTCAAAAACGATAATCAAAGTAGTCGATGGGGACGGAGAATGATTTATGACGTTCTGCGATCTTAAATCACTCTGTATACGCTGATACCTGCAAAAAAAATGTTAATTCCTCATATAAAAGAGTAAAGGGATAGAACGCTTATCTGACACCAGTGTATTGGTGAAATGGTGACAAATGAGTTTGGTATTTTCCCATGCTTGAAGGAATCCACCGGATGTTGAAATTCTTTCCATGCTTGAGGAAAGCCGACAAATGAGTTTGGTAGCTTTCTAAGCCTGAAGAAATCTACCGGAGGACACTTTCCATGCTTGAGGAAAGTCGACATATGATTTTGGCGTTTTTCTATGCTTGAAGAAATCCACCGATAATGCTTTCCATGCTTGAGGAAAGCCGACAAAGGAATTTGGCGGTTTTCTAGGCTTGAAGAAATCCACCGGATAATACTTTCCATGCTTGAGGAAAGTCGACAGATGATGAGATTGCAAGTCTCCGTGTATCGAGAACCTTGCGTCATGAAATGATGGTGGTTCGATTGTACCCGAATGTGGGCTGTAGATGGTCCGCTTGTCCCCGGACGTGGGCTGTAGTTGGTTCGCTTGTCCCCAAACATGGGATGTAAATGGTTCGCTTGTCCCCGAACGTGGGCTGTAGATGGTCCGCTTATCCCCGAACGTGGGCTGTAGGTGGTCCGCTTGTCCCCGGACTTGGGCTGTAGATGGTCCGCTTGTCCCCGGACGTGGGTTGTAGATGGTCCGCTTGTCCCCGGACGTGGGCTGTAGATGGTCCGCTTGTCCCCGGACGTGGGCTGTAGATGAGACCTGCAAAATAAAATTTGCCAAGGGACTCGTATATACTGTGATTGACTTGACCAACTGACTTAACCAAGTTTGACTTGATGTGACATGACATATGTATGACTTGTGAGTGTGTGTGTGTATATGTGTGTGTGCAGACACAAGCAAACGAAGATGCAAAAGCAAAAATTTTCCGTCAATTTTGTCATGAGTGGAGGGTACCGACTTTCTTTCGAAAAAGAAAGACGTGAAAAATGAAGTTTTATTTTCGAACTTCCCTAGATGAGAAAATTTTGAAAAAGTTTTTTTAAACTTCCCCAAAAGAAAAGACGCGAAAAAAGGAAAGAAGTTTTGAACTTCCTCGTTGAGCAAGGCAAAATGAATCGCATGGATTGAATTGCTTTTCTTGAAAGTAATGTATGCATGATGCATGTCCTTAGGCCAGGAGGCTAAGGACAATTACATCATGTGACACGATGAATGAACTTAGGTCATGGAGCTAAGCATCATATATGGTGTAAAGAAACGATCTTGAACGTCACTTAGGTCTAGAAGCTAAGCACATATACAGATGAAGTGATTATTGCATAATGAACGTTGCTTAGGTCAAGAAGCTAAGCACGATATGCTTT